ATAGAATTTGAAATAGAAATTTGCTTTTTTCAGCAAGTTTTCAGAAAACAGGAAATTTCTCCAAAGCAAGCACTTTGAAAATGCTATTTACACAGGGAGGCTTAAATATCAATGTATGGTTTAGAGAAATGAATGGACCTGTGAGAACAGTGCTTCTAAAAGTCCAGCCTATATACTGGCATCAGCCTAAGTATCACATAGGATATTGTAAAAATGAAAAATTAGGGGTTCAGGATTTAGCTCAGTGGTAGAGCACTTGTCTAACAAGCCCAAGGCATTGAGAAAAAATTTAATTTAAAATTAATTAATTAAATTAAACAATTTAAAATATTTCAGGTCCCATCCCAGAAGCAGAATCTCTGGGGTAAATCTGGAAATATGCACTTTATTGAGCTTATAGGTGGTTCTTAGGTGTCACAAAGTTTGTCACTCTTGTGTTCATCTCTCATAGCATGAGGGTCTCCATGCTTTTGGGGGAGGCTAGGAGGTTTTTGAGAGAGAGAAAATGGAGAGAGAAAACAGTTCCATCATTTACCCAAAGATCTCTCTGCTATTTCTGGGGCAATTTCCAATTTCTTGCTTGCGAACTCATCAGATCCTGCCTTCAAGTGGACCTTGGTTCTTTCCTGGGACATCATCAGTTGAATTAAATTGTCCACACAATTTTGTCTCTGTTGGAGATTGTGCCTTCTCAGTTGCCCCCTTGTGCGAGACAGCCTTCTGTGGCTTGTTACATGTCACACTGAATGCTCTCTGAAAACACCCTTTGTCCTCACCACCCATCCATCCACTTCAGAAGTGGTGATGTTATTTTGAGGCGGGATTTGGGATGGCATATAGAATAAAGCTATGATTGTATTAAAAACCAGAAGGGGATGGTAGCTAACCCAAACATGAAGAAGGCCTAAGCACACGCTGTACCAGGGGAGAGAATGAGAGAATGCTTCTTTGGACTGCTTTGTTTTTGAGGTCTCGGTTCTCACGTGTAGTCTGGACAGGCTTTCTGGGAAGGTTTATAGGGTTCCTGTTTGGCAAACTTACTGAATTCTGGGACCCAAGGCCCTGTCTTCTAAAAAGTGCCAAGCTAAATGCCCATTATTCCTGTAGATGGGGAAGACCCCATGCAATGTTCTTGGGTTCTGGTGACATTGGGGACCTCCTCCAATGCCCTGAATATGTCCAGTGTCTTCCTCTGGGCTCAGCCTTAGAAATCCAAATTTCCCTCCATAAATTCCAGCAAACAGCACACACGGCCTTCTGCTCTGATACAGAAACTTCCGTGTTTCCTCCTCATCACCATGTTGCTTTTAAAACACAGTAGATGAATGAGTGGCCCCATGCTCTGGCCACTTCGGGCATTTCAGTGACAATTTCCCACCACAAGAAAACTGAAAAGCAACAGGAAGTGGTGATTATGAAAAGGCAGGCCTGGGCTAAATTTGAATGGTGGAAACTTTCAACCAAAATTTTTTCCACAGACGTTCACTTTCTTTAGTTTGATGACTACTCACTGGATCATTGGGGCTAGATGCTACTGCACAGCGAGGAAACTGAAAAATAAATAAAGAGCCAGTTTCTCACACGGCCTTTTAGGAATGATGGTTCTCTTTCTTTTTGAGCAAGAACATAGAAAAGTGTCATTTTGATCCAAACTGAGCAAAAAGAATTTTTTTTTCCTATCCTGTTTTCTTCTGTTTTGTTCTTTCTGTACTAGAGTTTGAACTTGGCGCTTTGCACTTGTGGGGCCACACACCTCCAGCACAGATGGAGTTTGGAATGCAGCATATTTAAGTATGAAAACTCTATGACTGATATTTCATAAGAATAGCAGAGAAAATCTGAGGGAAAAGGAAGGGAAAAACATTTACAGAGAACATATTCCAGGCCAACAAACGTATTGCTAGGACTATGACACAGAGAATGCAACTTAGCTTTTGTAGGCACCTCATGGTAAGTCTGACTTCCTGCCTCCCTCCCTCCTTTTAATTTAGGAAACAGGTTTGTGGAGGATAACTTGCTCATAACTTTTTTTTTCCCTCTAAAATTTTTTTATTAGGATATATTCATTGTACAGTGGGGAGATTTGTATTAACAATTCCAATTAATCTTATATTGTACATTCTTTACATTGCCCCCATCGTCTCTCCCTCTCAGCCCCCACCCCACCCCACTTAAAGCAATTGCAAGAGGTTATTAAGCTCTGTTTCATGTACGTATATGAAGTCAATCTACCATATACCCACCTTAATCTTCTTCCTTCATCCGCCCCCCTTCCACTAGTACCCCCCCAGACACTGTGCCTATTTTTCAGTCCTGGTTTTCATAATTAATATTTGAGTTGTCATTTGAAGGCATGTCTCAATGTATGCCCACTGTGAGTGTGCTTTACTTTGGTCTGATCAATCCCTTCAAATACTCTCCCTTACCCCTTCACCTCCCACCCCCCATTTTTCAAAAGCTTTCAATACACATCCTTGTGTCCTCTACCTTCACATCTTATGTCATGTGATATTACTGATGCTCTATCACTCTCTTTTCCTTTCCTTCTTTCCCCGAGTTCCATAGAGAAGTTCCACTGTTACAAACATGTTCTACATCTGAGTTTGTATATGATCATGCTCGTTTTTATTTATATGTTTATCTTTGGATCTATCTTCCACGAATGAGAGAAAGCATGCACCTTTTGTGTTTCTGATCCTGGCTAACTTCACTTAGCATGATGTCCTCCAGTTGCATCCATTTGCCTTCAAACCCCATGTTGTTATTCCTGTGGCTGAATAATACTGTTATACATTTCTAGTTACATTTGCGCTATTTATTGTAATGCTAATTCAGAAGATCAGATAATAGGGTCAGTCATCATTGCAATTTTACCCAACTTCAAAAGGATCAGACCTTGGTATCCCAGTGAGGCACAGGAACTATTTAAAATTGTCACCAATGCCCTCTGATGCCTATTTTCCCAACCAAGGCAGGTCTCTGTAGGAAAGGTAAAAAGATAACAGAAGACCAAGGGTCCAACCCTATGGATTACACTAGAAGAAATAAGGGAGGGGCTCTGAAGCTCAGTGAGTTTCTGATTGATATTTTGGATGGGCTTCAACTCTGCATTCTCTGCCTCTTCTTTCTAGAGAAAACTGTGGAGAACCCTTCAGGATCTGTTACCAGTTTTTAGCAGGCAAAACTAGGCAAACCTAATGAGTTTGGGGATGGGTTGGAAAAACTATTTCCTCATAGTAAGCCCCTCTACTCATGACTTTGCTAGATGGACAGATGACCCTGTGATGACCTGGCCTTAAAATCAGAAGCTTCAGGGACAGGTCAGGTGGAAAAAGGAAGTAAACTTACATCCCAAAGAACTGGAAGTAATGCTTTGACTCTCTTCAGCATGCTATAACGGGTAGTTAGAAACTACTTTTACTAAAAAGCACTCATTCCTTACTTGGGCCCACAAGGTAACTAGAAGCAGGAGAAAAGCCTGGCATCTCTGCCTCCATTTTGCATCTGTCTCTTCTTCTCTGAGTTTCTCTCCCACAATCACATTGTGTTCCAGGAAAGACAGGACTAATTGATAATATCTTTATGACAAGAGGCTGAAACTGCCTCCAAGGAACTGCAGAGTTTCCCAGGACAGATAACCCGGCAAATGAGGACAATTACCTATAATGATGAGGCTACTCCTTGGAGCAGGAGTAATCATTTCGTGGGAACCAGATTACTCTCCTCAAGTGATGATGAGGATAACCACTTGTCCAGAGAACCAGAACTGAGATAATGATCAGCCAGATCACACTTTGCCTAGAACTGCTTAATTATGTATACCTCTTACCTTCTGCGCCAATTCTTCCTCTTTTTAAACTGTACCTCAAAAGATGGACTGCAATGTTTGCCTCCACTCACAGCACGCTGTACCATGTAATAACCTCCGTCTCTGTTCTTCACCCCTACCCATCTCTTTATTTGGCAAATTGGGGTGAATAGGCACTGACCTCATATGTTGGAATCCCTGGAGTTGGGCCTTTGGCCTAGAACTCTGGTTACAATGCCAGCAAATAAAGTAGAGAATGCAGCTCAGCACAAACGCATGAAAAACACAACTTGAATCTCATGATTTTTGCAAAAGGCCGTTTGGCCAAGGTGTGAGTTTAGGAGCCATAAGCCACTCTTATCACAGTCTCTTTATTTAGGGCTCTCCACTTTCCTGAGGTTTCACGGTACACAAACTCAGCTTAGCTGCAGAAGCAAGATGGCATGAGGAGTTCAGCGTGAACTTGAAGAAACCCCACGTTGGCTCATTAAATTCCCTTGCAGATTACCTACCTGATGTTCGCTAGCTTTTCCAAGCCTCACACATGATAGGCTAATTCTATGATATGCACCATGATTCTATTTTGGGTTATTTCTGCCTATGGCTTAGGAGCCAGAAGATCCTGGCTCACGTGCGTGCCCCCAGCCTGGCTGCGGACGCATCAGTAAATGCGGGTGGAATAGAAGAGGATCCTCCAATGTCTCCCACCTCTGATTTCCGTTAAACACTGGGCTGGGGGCTGCGCATAGCCTCCGCAGGGCCAGCCTCCCAGCGGCGAGGGCTGGCACCCGCAGGACTGGGCTGAGCGCAGAGGGCACACTTCCCGCCCCGCGGCCGGGCGGGGGCGGAGCTTTCGCCTCTCCTCCGCTCTTCTCCCCTCCCCTCCCCTCCCCTCCCCGCGGCCCCGCCCTCGCTCCTCCCGCCCCTCCCGAGGCTGAGGCAGGGCGGGGGCGGGGCCGCGCGCGGTGGGCGGCGTGGCGGTGCGGGCTGGGCGCTGGGGCCGAGGTGCTGGTTCACCGCGGCGGGCTTGGGCGCAGAGCTGGGGCGTGCGGCTCCAGGGAAAGCCCAGCTCCGCAGGCAGGACGACGAGCGGACGGGCCTTGGCGGTGGTGGCGGCGGTGGCGGCGACGGCTCCCTCCCGGCTGGTGCAGGGCCGCGGACCGAGCGGGGGCTGAGAGCGGGGCCGCGGCCCGGAGCGCTCGGGGAGCCGGGGCAGCGGGAGGAAGCGGCGGCGGCGGCGCGCCCCGAGCCGTGCGCGCCATGGCGGGAGGGCCCCCCAAGGCCTTGCCGTCCACGGGGCCCCAGTCCCTGCGTGACATGCCGCACCCGCTGGCCGGCTCCAGCAGCGAGGAGGCCGTGGGCGGCGATAGCACGCCCAGCCCGGACCTGCTGATGGTCCGCAGCTTCGGTGACAAGGTAGGGCGCATGGATCTGGGGACTGGGAGGCTTATTTCGCCTGCGGGGGTGGGGCGGGGATGATAGATCCGGGGCCACCCTAGGGGGCACCCTGCCGCGCCCACCCTGGAGACCCTTCCCGGGGTGCCCGGCGTGCCGTCGCCCCCAGAGCTCTTGGAAAAAGCGTCTCCCCTGTGCTACCCCTGCGGGGTCGCAGCTGCAGGGGGAGCGGCCAGAGGGGATGGGCTTCTCTGGCTGTGACGGGTCGCGTGCGAGGGTGACAGCTGGTGGGGAGGGGTCCCGCCTGCGCGTTGAGGCCAGAGGCGGGTGCACTGCGCTAGGCGCCGGTGGCCCGGGTTCCAGGTGCATCCCTGGAGGCTGAGCTGCCCAATAACTTGTAGCGCCTCCAGTTTCCTGGGACTGCAAAGAAGCCAGAGTTAATGGCTTTCAGGGGGTAGGACTGGGCGGCCTGAATGCGGCCGCGAGAGCGGTATTCTTTCCCCGTCAGTCATGTGGGGAGTGATCTTTGTTTAGGTTTGCTGTTTGCCCTGAGGAGTCACCTGACTCAGACCCCAGCCTGCGGCGGGAGGAGAGTCTCGCTGTGGTTTTCTCCCTGGGGCTTCATGCACCTCCCATGGCCTACCACATGGTGTAGGTTTGGCAAAGGCTGGTTTTGTGGTTGAAGAAAAGAAAGCTCGCCCTTTGACCTTCTTTGTGCAGAGGGAGGCTTCTGATTTTCTCCGAGTGTCACAGCCCTCATGCTGCTCGGAGAGAAGGCAGAGTCCAGTGAGGGGAAATTCCCCTGCCCCCATCGCCCTTGTAGCTGTGACCAGGATTTGAGCTTCGATTGTATCAGTGCTCCTGTTGCCATTTAGTCATTAATTGCAGAAATTCGAATTGTTCTCAGCACTTGGGATCAGGATTTCCGCTGCCTAGTAAAATACTAAAAGAATTCTTCCTCCTCCCACTATTAATGGGATCAGGAGACCTAACTCTCTCCTCTGCTTAGCTTTGAGGACATGTGATGCAGTAATAATGAGTATGAGAGGCCCAGAATTTGCTGTCCTTACAGTGGTAAGATCCCTGAGCACTCAAAATGACCAGGGAGCACTCAAAATGTATCTTCCGGAGAGGGTTTGTAAAGCATTAGGAAAGAGAAAACTTGAGCTAATGTGGATTGAGGAGCTCAAGGGGTGTGTGTTTCTTGCTGGCACCTGTAATTCTTTGTAGCTCCTCCAACTTTTTCTTCTTCTTTGACGGTACTGGAGTTTGAACTCAGAGCTTGGGCTTGCAAAGCAGATGCTCTTTATGTTGAACCACAGTTCCAGTCCTTCTTTTTTATTTTATAGGAGATTGTAGACTATATGAAAGCATATGTAGCTTGCAAATCCCTTGTCCATTACTTTGACATTCCAAAAAGTAATTGTTGAATGACTAATTTTTGTTTTTTTTGCGTGGAGTTTGAACTCAGGGCCTTAAGTTTGCTAGGCAGGCACTGTTACTGCTCGAGTCACTCTGCCCTTTTATTTTTTTGTGATGAGTTTTTTTTCGTGATAGAGTCTGGTGAACTATTTGTCAGGGGCTGGCTTCAAACCTGGATCTGATCCTCCTGATTCCCATCACTGCCTCCTGAGTAGTGAAGATTACAGTTGTAATGCCACCAGGACCTGGCTAATTGTTGCTTTCTTATCAACAGAGAAATTGGCTTGAAATGGATGTAGAATAGGAACTGAGATTAAACCTTCTGATTTCCTTCTCAGTTCTGTGTAAGATAGTGAATAACCTATTGCTGTGTAAGAAGTTGTCCCAGAATTTAGCACTTGAAAATAGTGCTGGTGGGTCAGGAATCTGGGAGCAGCTTACCTGGGTGGTTCTGACCTGGGTCTCACAGGAGGCTGCAGTCAATCTGAATGTTAGATTGGGGAAAATCCAACCTAGCTTCTGAGTTCACCCATCAGCTCTCCATAAGGCTCTTCAACATGGCAACTGGTTTCCTCCAGAGCAAGGGATCCAACTCTTGTACAAATTAATCTCAAAAGTGGCATATCTCTGTTGTATTCTGTGGGTCACAGACTGACCCTGGTACAATGGGAAGAGAGTATGAATACCAGGGAGTGAATACCAGGAGGTGAGATCAATGGGGCCATCTTGGCTACTAACTTAGCTTTTTTTTTTTCAGTTTCCTGGGATTAAAACTCAGGTCCTTGCTTGAGCATGCTAAGCAAATGCTGTACCACTGAGCTATCTCCCCAGCCCTAAAGGTAGTTATTTTATTTTATTTTTTTGTGGTATTGGGGATCGAACCAGGGCCTTATGTATACTAAGCAAGTTCTTTGCCACTGAGCCACACCTCCAGCCCTGTTTAATTTTTGTTTTGAGGCGAGGTCTCACTACGTCACCCAGGCTGGCCTTGAACTCATTGTATAGCTAGCCCAGGTGGGCATCAAACTTTTTTCCATCTTCCTTTTTCAGTCTCTTCCATAGTTGGGATTAAAGGTACTACCATGCCTGGCTGGATAGCTGTTTTAAATATATGCCTGATCGTCTGCTCTTGGATACTACTTGACTCAGAAATGTGGCTATTTTACTAATAAGTATTTGGAAGACAAATGCCAAGTAACACTATGATCTGGTTGGTTGGCAGGAGTGGGGCCCAAGTCTGTTTACTGATGACTTCTTTCTCAAGATTCTTTGGGAAAGGCAATCTTGAAGATACTGTTATTAATTATTGAACATTTAATAAGTCTCTTAACATCTGTGGAGAGCATGTAAATGACACCAGTCCCAAGGGCCTGATTTAAAGTAAGCTACTTTTCCTTAGAGGGTACACATTGAAGCTTGTTTCTTTGAGTAACGTTTTCTTTGAATCTTGGTTCTCCTGAGTTTTTGTAAAGAGAAGCCTTCTGTTTGCCTGGCTTTTTCTTGCCTTGCTAGGCAGCATGGGGGTTGTTGGAGGGCAGGTGGAAAAGTCGAGCCATGGTCTGTCTTTTGAAAAGAAGCCTGTTTTCTTGCCTCATTGGACGTTGGGGTTGGGATCCCTAATGACAAGGATGCAGGGTTGGTTCTGGGCAAGGGGAATAAAGGTTTGACAGGCTATTCACAGTGCAGAGTTGTACAGAGTGGACTTGTGTTCTATGGCCCTGGATGGGATGGTGCTGTGAACAGCTTGCATCTTGGCCCAGCTGATACTTCCAAATGGCCTCTGTGGTGCTCAAGGAGGAGAGAAACTCCAATTGTGGCTGATGAGAGGAATTTTTTCTATCTATAAGGGTTGGAAGGACTTAATTCTGATGCCAACTAAACCCACCAGGCCTTATAGGGCTACATTTTTCTTCTTTACCTAAAATGTAAACACTTCACTTGACCTATTTCTTCTTTTTAACTTTCATCTACGAATTGCTGGAAGCCATTTCTCCTCTGACTCAGATGCTTACTTGTGTGTGCCTTCTGAAACTAAAAGTCTGATCCTCTTAAGCACCAGTCTGTGGTTAACACCTCTCTCAGCCTCTTTGCCTGACTCTTCCACCTACTTCCTGCCCCCTAGACTTCCTCGAAGTCTTCAAAATGGATGCCTTTTCCTCTTTTACTCTGTTGTCAGGAGATGGGAATCAGGGTCTTCTCACTACATTTGCCATTGTGTTTAGCAAATCTCATTCTTTTAGTTTATTCAGCAAATATTCGAGGGCCTGCTATGAGCCAGGCACTGTTCTAGGAACCTAAGATTATTGAAGAAACCAGCCAAAGTCCCTTGTCTTCCTGGGGCACATGTAAGTGAGAATATACTGTGTTATGCAGTAAGATCAGGAAGAAAAAGTAGAGCAGGGCCGGGCGAGGGGCGGGGAGGGGACGGTGCTTCAGGTTGGCCTTACTGGGAATCGGAGACTTGAGCAGATTTGAGTGAAATGAGGAGTTAGCAGGTGGACATCAGGTGGAGGGCACAGCCCAAGCTGAGGCTTAAAGCACAGGCCCGGTGTGTCAGGGATCATTGTGGAGGTGAGTGTGGCTGGGCAGAGTGAGCAACAGATTGTCACAAAGGAAGGGAGGGGTCAGACTGTGTTGGCCCTGGCAGCCCCCTCTCCCTCCAGGACGTTGGTCTTTACTTTGAGTGCCAGGTATGGGGGTATTATAGTTGAGCAGGAGGAGGGACCGTTTGGACTCCTGTGCTGGCAAGGAGCATACAGGCTGATGAATTGAGACTACCTTGTATGACTGCTCCACTGAGTTAGGATAGTTCTAAAAGGACACACACCAAAGCAAACTGGCTAGAGAGAGAAAAAACCAAATGACTGGTTCCTGTTGAAAAGACCCAAGTATTTTGGCTTCAGGAATGTCTGAAACAGAGCTTTCAAATGATGTTGGGAATCTGCCACTTGCCATCTCTTGGCTTTGGTTTCTTCTGTGCTTTTTTTATTCTCAAATTAGTGAAGGGATATGCTCTACAGACAAGCTTCACAGCTCCAGCAAAAAGCACACCTCTCTCCTGACAGTTCTGGGAGAGCTCTGCTCTAGGCTGGCGTCTCCCTGTCTAAATTGGGTCAGATGCCTAAACCTGTCCTTGTAACTCTGATTTCGCAGACGTGGATCAGGTGCTTTAACCTTTGGACTGAAGAGAAGGATTAAAAAAAAAAATAGGGCTTAAAGGTATTGCTGAAGCAGTAGAACGCCTACCTAGCAAGTGAAAAAAAAAGTGAAATATACAAATGAAGTCTATGAGTTTAAGTAATAAAATCTCAGTATAGTTTAAAGAATAAATAATATTAACATTCATGTTCGTATTCCTCATGTTAAGAAACAGAATGTACTAATATTTTGGAAGCCTCTCTGTGCTTGGGAAGCAAGGAGTTAGTTTCTAAAGTAAAATCAGGGTGGGAGTTTAGTTGTGGAGCACTTACTCATCATACGTGAAGCCTGGGGTCACACACACACACACATACACACATGCACATACACACACATACACACATGCACACACATACAAACACATACACACGCATGCACACACACGCATACATACACACACA